TTTTTTGTATTTTTAGTAGAGACGGGGTCTCACCATGTTAGCCAGGATGATCTCAATCTCCTGACCTTGTGATCTGCCCGCCTCGGCTTCCCAAAGTGCTGGGATTACAGGTGTGAGCCCCGGCGCCCGGCCAATTTTTGCATTTTTTGTAGTGACGGGATCTCGCTACATTGCCCAGGCTGACCTCAAACTTCTGGCCTTAAGTGATCCTCCCTCCTCAGCCTCCCAAAATGCTGGGGGTACAGATGTGAACCACCACACCTGGCCAGAACTGGGTTCAAATTCTGACACTGTTGCTTGCTTGCTGTGTTACCTCAGACAGGTGACTTTACTTCTCTGAGCCCCAGTTTTCCTATCTGTAAAATGGCAGTTAACATTATTGATTCCTGGGGATCACTGCAGATCCAGTGAGGTGAGGTGTGCAGAGCGCTCTGCACACTGTAGGCGCTTGAGATATTGCGTCTGTCTCTCTGGTATCCCAGGAGCAGTTCTGTCCCTCCCTTGTTAGTGGTAGAGGAGGGTAGTCAGCCCTGATTTATGTGCCCCTCTCCTCCCTCCTCAGATGCTGGGAAAGTCCCCTCCCCTGGAACTTGCTAGCCCTTCCATGGACCTGCTACTGCCTGGCTCTCTCAATTACCTGCCTCTGCTTCTACCCCACCCCTGCCTCTCTCTCCTCCTGGGTGCCTCAGTCTGAGGTGGGAGGGACTAAGTATCACCAGCAAGGACACCGCCCCACACACAAGAGGCTTCTAGGGTCAGGAGGCCTCATCCATTCATGCTTACATCACCTGTCTGATCTCTCTGCTCAGAAAGGGGAAGAGACTTGCTCCAGGTTGTCCAGAGCAAGGGACCCAGGGCTGCTGCCCGGTTGCCTCTCAGCCCCCCTTTTCATGGCCATATCTTAGGGCACTAGGGCTTGGACCAAGTGCCGTGTTGTGCAGTGTGGGGAGCCCTGAACCTTTTTTAGCTGTTGGGGGGTGGGCTTCCAATGCTTCTTGGTCCCCCTGGAAGGTGCAGGTGGCTGATGGGAAGTAGCAGCAGAACCCACTAGGGTCCACACTCTGCCTCCAGAACCACCCTACACAGTCTAGGCACAGGGAAAGACAAAGGCAGGAGGGGGCTGGTGGGGAGGCGAGACATGGCCTTGCCTTCCAAAACCCCTATCTACTGGGGAGACAGAATGTAGACTGGGGGTCCTAAAGGCAGGGCACCAGAGTCACCCTCAAAGAAGAAAGGTGGTTGGTGGTGGGGGTGCTGGTGGTGGGAAGAAGTCAGCCCCTGAGGGGGTGAGCCTACAGGAGACTGAGATGGGAAAGTGGGGAGAAGGCAGAGAGGAAGCTGAGCAGCCCAAGGTGGGGATAAAACGAGTCCCCCAAGGTTAAAGAAGAGGATCCAGACCACTCAGGAGAGAGAGGAAGGGGTGATTGGGGAGGGGGTGAGGCAGGGCAGGACAGTCTCCCTGACCCCAGCACAGCTGGCCCCCCAGGCCTGGTGGGGAAACAGGAGGGAGCTTGCCACTGGAGGGCCCTGGGGTGGGGGCTGAGCAGAGAGTCTCTCCCAGCCCCCAGGTCCTCACGCAGGAGGCAGCTGGGAACCACCCACGCTCATCTGGCGTCTCTCACGCCTCCACTGGGGGTCCCAACATCAGAGCCAAGGCACACAGTGGAGCCGGTGTTCCGGAGAGCCCAGCTGTCCCCACCCCACCCCAGCCTGGCTCCTCAGTTCCTCCAGCTGAGACCTCCCCACCTGCCTCCAAGCAGGAGGGACTAAGGCTAGACTCTGAGGACTTGAGAGGCTTGGTGTGGGAGCCTGGAGGCGGAGCCCTGGGGAACCAGAAGGGGCTGAGCTGCCGATGCTGAAGAAACTCCAGGCTGGGAAGGGCCCTCCGTGCAGATGGCTAATGCTGCCGGCTTTACCTGCAAAGTAAATCCAGAAACCAGACTCACCCCAGCCATCTCTCAACCTGAAATGGCCCCCTGCTCCCACCTTGCCCCCAACTCCTCAAAGTCTGTTCTTGACATAATAGCCCAAGGAAGCTGACCACATAGAGGTCACACCCTCTCACTCTGCTCAAAGCCCCCAGGACTTCCCATCTCATCTGGAATAAAAAGCCTAAAGTCATTATCATAGACCCCTAGGCTCTAGATGGCCCCAATGGCAGTTACCATTCTAACTGCCACACCCCAATCCCAACGTTTAAAAACACATGTCTAATATCAACATGAATATTGTGTCCATTGTTTTTGTCTGCGTCTGTAGTCCCATTACCTAGATAGAACAATGCTGGCGCAGAACTAGTGTTTTATACGTATTTGTGGAATGAATGGATGAGGGTGCACACATTGGAAAAATTATTTGAACCCTCTGAGCCCATTTCTTCATGGGGACAATAAGGACCAACCTCTAGAAATGGAAAAAGGACAAAATCTCAGTCCAGCATGCGGAGATTGTTGCTGAGGCTGGGGGCAGGAGGAGCTGGGCTGGGGGTCATCGACTCTGGAGAGGAGCTGTGCGCTCGGCAGGCAGTGGGCAGGTGCCACAGGATCCCCAGGCAGAAGATGTTCTGCTCTCCTGTCATGGCCTGCACAGTCAGAGGCTGGGGAGGGAGGAAGGGAGGGGGTTTCCTTGATTGGAGGGGGGAGTGGGAGGAGCAGCTGATACCTGGGAGGTGGGATTAATTCTGAGAGGGGGTCGGGGTGAGGTCTGGAGTGGTCCAAGGTGGAGGTGGGGAAGGGGGCATGTCTGGCCCCCTACCCCGTGTCTGGGGGCATGTCTGGCCCTCTACCCCGAAGACCTCAGTAGCTGGAGGAATGGGCGCTCCACCCTTCCCGAAGAGCTCCCAGCTCCGTTAGTTGAGAGTTGAGGCGCAGGAGCGGGGAGGGTGCCCAGGGTGCCGATTCGGCCCTCGAAGCGACGTGCGGCTCAGAGCCCAGGTGGGCATGGGGAAGGAAGCGGGGGCGGAGTGGCCGGGGATCGCCCCCGGCTCAGTAGAGAGGCCTCTTGGCACTACCCTGTCCCTCCGTTCCGGCCACCAGAGCTGAGGTGCCGAGGAGAGGGGCGCCGTGGTCCTCCTCCCCGGGTAGGCTGCTCCCTCGAGGGGGGCCGGGGAACCGAGGGCGTCCCCTTCTCTCTCCGGGGCGGGGGGGGGGGCGGAGCCTAGCGGGCCGCTCCCCCACCCCCAGGGCTGGCGGGGACCCCCTCAGGGGAGGGGCTCCGGGTGAGCGCTGCGGGGCGTCTCCCTCGCAGTCCCGCCCGCCCCTCCGGCCGCCCCTGCCGCGCGCGCCGCAGCAGCGCCGCCTTCCCTGCGCAGTCGGTGTCTCCGCGTCGCTGGGTGAGTGGGGGCAGCTCCAGCCGGGGCCATGGGATGAGGGCAGGGGGTTCCCGGAGCCGGGGGCCCACGTCCAGGGCTTCCCAACACCGCCGCTCCCGGGCTTCCCGGGAATCCTTGTCCCTGGGTGGCGGGGGGCGCAGGGGACCGGGGAGCGCGTGGTGCTCTCCAGGGTCCTGAACGCCGAGTGGCCACCCCGAGGAGCCGCGTTCGACCGCCCGGGAGCGCCCCCTCCAGGAGGGGCCACGCGCCGGGCGCTGTCCTAGTGCTGAGCGGATGGAGGCGGGGGCTGGGGGCCAGAGCTGAGGGAGGTTTGGAGCTGGTCCCCGGGGCTGGCTTCTCAGGTCGAGCTGAGGGGGGTCTTCCCATATGGGGGACTTGAGGTCTTTGCGGACAGCTGAATCTTCTTCCAACCGGGGGGGGCAACTCCGAGAGTGGCAGGGCGGAGGGGGCACTGGAGGAGCTCTCCTGCTCTGCGCATCTCTCTGCCCCCACCCCGGTGACCCAGTTCCTTGGACCTTGAGGAGGGCAGTGAGGGACATGCCCCAGCCCTTCTCATTTCCTCAGCCCTTTCCCACTCGCTTGTCTGGTGGGTCCTTAGCCTGGGCCATAGAGGCTGGTCTAGAAAGGAGGGGGACCAACTTACAGAAACATGCATGTGACACACCGCCTAGGACACACACAGGTCCTCCAAATGACCACACGGGCTCATTCCCTCACGCTGTGACGGGTGCATACCTGATCACATGCACATCTGAGGCACATGCAGGGACATAGATGGAAAGACACGGCAGGCGAATGCAATACAAAAACCAGCGGCACACATTATGCATGAGCATATGCACTCACAACACACCCATTCACATGTGTGCAGAGCTTCATGCACATGTATGCACAAATAATCCCGTCCTTGCCCCAAGTGGGTGGGGGTCACCTGCACACACCCCTACATTCCTGTGCAGAACTGGCTGGCTGTTTCCTCTTCATTGCCTTCTACTCAGTCTCCACAATCTAACCTGCACTCAGGGGGCCTTTCAGGACTAGATGAAAGGTAAGTGTTGGGGAGGCTTGGATGGGCTTGGGGGGGTCTCCTTGGAAAAGGGGCCCCCAGCAGGTCTGGGAAGGTTTGCAGTTCCCTCTCCTGGGACCTGGCAGCACCCCTGGGAAAACTGAAGGAAAACAAAGAAAAATGGCAAGGGTGCCTGAAGGTCCCACGTGCAGCTGGCCATGTGAGAGGTGTCGGCATGCGAGTTGGCGTGTGATGGCATGTGTGAGACATGTGGGGTCGTGGGCTGGTGTGTCTTGATGCACAGGGTATGGGAGTTGTGCGTGGTGCCATGTGTCGATTCGTGTGAGTTGCGGAGCAGAGGGAATGTCGTCATGTGTGGAGGCATGCTGACCCATGGGTGGGCGTGGGCTGGTACGTGAGTGGCATGGGATCCAGGGTGTGGATCTGGTGAGCTATGAAGCATATAGTTATCGGTATGTGTTTGTTTGCACAGTTTTTGCATGAGTTTTGTGGCACCTGGGTATATGTAAGTCATTTTTATTTATTTAACACTTATCTAGCACTTATCTGTGCAGCCATGGTTCTAAGTGCTTCCCACTTATTAACTAATTTAATCCCCACAACTATCCTCTTAGGTAAGTACTGTTATTACCCCACTTTAAAGATGAGGCAGAGAGAGTTTAAGGAACTTGTCCAAGGTCACGTAGCTGGTAAGAGGAGGAGCTGGGATTCAAACCTAGGTGATCTGACTCTGGAGCCCACAGTAACACCTCCCTCTGCTGCCTCTTGTTGGGCACACCTGTCAGAGGGAGAACAGGGCAGTGTCTGGGCTGCGAATATGTTTTGTGCTGAACAGGCACATATGAGGCAATGAGAAGGCAGTGGGTAGGACGGAGGAGGATCAGAAGGTTTTTCTGCACCTCTGTGGGCAACTCTAGGAGTCAGCCTCATCATGCCATGGCTGTGTGACCTGAAGCAGCCACCTCACATCTGTAAGCCTGCCTTATCTGTAAAATGGGGAAAGTCCCCGTACCACCTGTTGTGAAGGTGAAATGGTGTGCATTTGTGAAGGCTTAGTGGCTGGCACCGAGAAGGGCCTCAGTAAATGTGAAGCCCCCCTTCCCTTCTTCCCTCTCCCAGGAAAGTGTATGATCCAGGGAGATGGTGTGGAGCATGGCACAGATACAGGATGCCTGGGTCTAGACTGTGTGACCTTGGGCCAGTTCTTCTCTTTCCCTGGGTCAAACGAGAGGTGGGGATGGCTGTTGGCAGGGGGAGCCATCTGGAGCAGTGTCTAGTATCCAGGAGGGCCTGATCACTCCTCTCTGCCCTTGACCCCCTTGGGGACCCAGGTGGGACTTGGCTCGGCGGCCATGGGCAAGCAGAACAGCAAGCTGCGGCCCGAGATGTTGCAGGACCTGCGGGAGAACACGGAGTTCTCAGAGCTGGAGCTGCAGGAGTGGTACAAGGGCTTCCTCAAGGACTGCCCCACAGGAATCCTCAACGTGGACGAGTTCAAGAAGATCTACGCCAACTTCTTTCCCTATGGTGACGCCTCCAAGTTTGCCGAGCATGTCTTCCGCACCTTTGACACCAACAGCGATGGCACCATAGACTTTCGGGAGTTCATCATTGCGCTGAGCGTGACCTCACGCGGCCGCCTGGAGCAGAAGCTCATGTGGGCCTTCAGCATGTATGACCTGGACGGCAATGGCTACATCAGCCGGGAGGAGATGCTGGAGATCGTGCAGGTGGGCCCCTGGGCCCCTCAGAATGCCAGGCACAGGGCCCGGCAGCTTGCACCCACCACCCCTTTTGATCCTCTCAGCAGGCCTTGTAGGCAAGTGGTGGCAAGGGCTATTCTTGCAATCCCATTTAAAAAATTGTTTATTAGAAAATATTTCCCATTTAAAGAAAAGTTGAGAAAACTCCCCTATACCCTCTACCCAGATTCGCCAATTAACATTTTGCCACAGTTGCTTCATCATTATCTGTGTGCGTGTGCATGTGTGCACACTAGTGTGTAACATTTTCTTGTTGTTCTGAACATTGGCCCTTTACCCCGGATACATTAGGATATATTTCCTAAAAATAAGGACATTCTCTTACATAACCCATAATATGATTACCAAAGCCAGGATATTTAACATAGAAACAATGCTATTATCTAATCTACCAACCATATTCCAATTTTGCCAACTGTCTCCATACTGTTCTTTATAGCATTTTTGGCCCTGACCTGGGGTCATGCATTGCATCTAGTTCTCATGTCTCTTTAGCCCCCTTTAATCTGGAACAGCTCCTCATCCTTTCTTTATCTTTTATGAGTTGACATTTCTGCAGAGCACAGTCCAGTTATGTCTAATTGATCTTCATTTACACCAAAGGAAACAGATGCTCAGAGAGATAAAGGCACTTGCTTGAGGCCACACAGCCTGTGTGAGAGGGCCATCTGGTACTACTGTCCACATTCCATCTGGATACCCAGCTATCTTCTGATTGAGGGCCCACTATGAGCTTAGCATTGAGTGAGGTGCTTATGAGCTCAGTGCATGCTTACAACAACCCCATGAGGCTCGGAGAAGTGAAGTGATATACCCAAAGTCACCCAGCAAATAAGTGGAGACAAGCTCTGGCTGGCCACTACTCAGAGCTGTCTACTGAGAGGGCTCTGGACTCATAGCCAGGAGGTCTAGCTTCCAATTCTGGACGTGGCCTTCACTCTTAGGCTGCTCATCTGTATGGTGATACTGACTTCACAAGGAGATTTAAGGACCAGATATAAAAGCCCTTTGTTAGTACAAGTTTAAGTGTGCTACATGTTAGCTTTATTTCAGAAACCTCCCAGAGCACCCATCCCCTCACACCAGCCTTGAAGATGGCCAGGGCTCTGGTTCTATTTTACCAGTCCACTTCCTTGCCTGCCTTTTTCCTAAGCCTTTATGGGTTTTTTCACCTGTAAAGTGCGGGTGTTAAGCCCCTGCCTCACAAGGCTATTGCAGGGATAGAGTGAGATAAGGACTCGAGCGGAGGGCTTGGCATATAATTGGTACTTGGTAGACATTAGCAATTGTCTGTTATTATTTTCTCCTCTGTACATCCTCTGCTCTAGCCAGAAGGGCCTTTTCAGCATCTTTGAAATGTGCCCTGACTAATCCTGTCACGCAGCTTTGCACAAGCTCTAGCCCCCTTTCCTTCTGCATCTCTGAATCCTTTCCCTTCTGGTCCCTCAGCTCCACAGACTGCTGCCCCAGCCACTGCTGGACTCTTGACTTTGGCTTCTCCTTTTGCTAAGGTCTGGGCCTGCTCTCTAGGTGGAGATGTGATGCCCTCCCCATACCTATGGCTAGAAGGGGGAAAGCCTTAATGTTTGCCACAGACTCCTGTGGGTCAGACATTTGACTCTTTAGTTGCTTGATGGTAGGGGGATCTGGGGGTTCTGAGGGTAGGGTCAGGTGGCCAGGATGGTGGAGGATCACCGAGACATGGACAGCAGCTGGGTACTGACCAATCTGGAGGGACATTTGCATTTTACCACTTAGTGTGTTGCACTGGTATGTACTGGTAAACCCCAGTCCTGCTGGAGTACCATGCCCAGGGCATCAGTCAAGCTAGACCCATTCCCTGGGCATCCTCAGGACCCCTTTCTGGTGGCCTCTGCTATCCAGGCCCTGGCTTCTTTTCTGGCGGCCCAGTGGCCCCAGATGGTTGGTACCCACAGAGCTCTGCAAGCCCCAGTACCTGATTAATGACAAGTCGGCTCCCATGAAACCATGAGTGAGCAGCAATTCCAGACAATTAGTTAGCAGGCCCAGGAGAAGGCTGTCACAGAGGTAGTGGTCACTGGCCCAGTTCTTCTCAAGACACAGCCCTGTGCCAGCTAGTGGACACACTGGAGAGGAAGAGACTGCGCCTCTTGAGGCTCCCACTCTGGTGGGGGAGACAGATGTGTAGTTCACACTGACAAGCTCAGTGACAGGGGTTTAAAGGTGTCATCTGGGAGCCAGGGGACTGAGTGGCAGGGAAGACTTGAGGATGTAGAGGATGAATAATGACTGTAATATAAGCTATTTACTGACCACCCACTCTAGCCAGCCACAGTTCCTCACACATAATCTCATTTAATCTGAGGAAACTGAGGCTCACAGAAAAGTACGTGTCCAAGGCTACACAGTTAGTGAGTAGTGGAACCAGGACGCCACTCCAGGTCCATCTAACTTTAGAAACTTGAAACTACCAGACCCCTCTATTCATGTGCTCATCAGACAGGTACTGATATCCGGTCACAACTGTGGCTACCATTCATTGAGCAGTTACTACAGACTGGGTCTAATGCTACAGGCCCTGCTGACTGTCGCCACCCCACACTGCCCAAGCATCCCTCCAGCAGCTAAGAGGGAACAGGTACAAATTGAGTCTCCGCCATCAATTTCCTTTCTGAGCCACAGTTTCTTATCTGGAAAACAGGGATCATGATACCTGTTTTTCAGGGCTTGTGCGAGGTTTAGAAATAGTGCGTGTAAAGTGCCTGGCACAGAGCAGGTCTCTGATAAGTGGTAGTTAGTATTGTTATTCCAGGCAAAGACTGTAAATGCTGCAGAATCTGAAGGGTCAGGGGTGTTTGGCTGTTGGCAGGATCACCCAGCCAGGGGAGGCCTGATGGAGGAGGGTCAGCAGTGGACAGATTGTAAAGCATCTTAAATCCCAAAGGCCGAATGGTTTGAACTTGGAACAGAGGGCAGTGGGAAGTGCCAATGGCTTTTAAATAGGGAAGTCCCTGCCTGGTGCCAGGTTCTGGGGATATGGACATTAGCTAGACATCCATGTTTGCAGGAACAACCCTGCAAAGACATAATTTCTTCTGGAGAGATGTTTGCAAAGGAAAAGTCCACCGGGCTCTGGGCCCATATGCACCCTGACCTAGCCTGGGTTGGAGAAGACCTCGCTAAGAAAACAGCTTGTAAACTGAGTCCCAAGGAGGAGTGGGAGGCAGCAGAAGGAGCTGGGTGCAAGGCGAGCCTAAGGGGAGCCCTGTGTGTGACGGGAGTGAGGGGGTGGTGTGCGGGCTGGGGACGTAACAGTGGAGATCTGTGTTTGGAAAGAGCTTTCAGAGGCAGCATAGGGGACAGACCCGAGGGACAGGCTAGAAGAGACCAGTGTGGAGGCTGAAGCTGGATCTGAGACAGCAGAAGTTTATGGGATGGGAGAAGGGAGGCTTCTTGGAGGAAGTGTCGGTCGGGTAAAGCTGGAAGATTGGGGAGACAGGTTCGGTCCTTGAGCTCCGGGGCACTGTGACCCAGGCTACAGGCCAAGCCCTACGTGCGTGCTCTGTACATTTAGCGCAAGAACTCTCTTTCATGTCACCTCGGGAGCTACTGCACGTGGCGGCTGCCGCCCTCTGCCCAGCCCAGCCCAGCCAAGCCTGGCGGTCCCTGCCTGCTGCAGATGCATATTTGCATTCCTTTGCATACTGTTCCCCGCCCCTCTGGCCCTCCAGCCCGCGCCGCGCCCCCTGCCGGCCGCAGACCGCCTGGCAGCGCAGTGACGCCCCCTTGGCCCGGCGCCCCCTTTCGACCACGGAGCGCCGGCCGCCCTGGGCCCGGGTGCCAGCCCGGTACTTACCGCCGACTCGCGTCCCGGGCACGCGCTCCTAAGCCCGCCGCTCCAGGCCCTCCACTGTAGGGCCCCGGTGTCCTCCAGCATCTCTCCTGACCCCCTACGCCCCCAAATTCCCAGCGCCCGCTCGGAGCTTTCACCTGCGGCGTCTTTGCGCCTTTCCCACCCAGCTCTCCAAGGGAGCACGGCAGGGCCCGCCCGATAGCCCCCTCTTCTGGGAAGTCTTCCCAGACACGCCTTCCCGAAGCCCCCGGCTCCCCACGCCTCCGTAATTCCCCACTCCACCTTGCCCAGGCGGGGGCAGCAAACGTCAGCGAGCCCGGGGGCGCCTCTGAATCTTGCGGGTGGGGGCTCGGGCAGGCTCCTCTCACTCCCCGCCTCCCCTCCCGCCCCCAGGCCATTTACAAGATGGTTTCGTCCGTGATGAAGATGCCGGAGGACGAGTCGACCCCGGAGAAGAGGACTGAGAAAATCTTCCGCCAAATGGACACAAACAACGACGGTGAGGGGCAGGGGCGGGACGGGGTGGACGGGGCGGGACGGGGTGGACGGGGCGGGCGCCTCTCCCTCCCTCCCTTTCCGCTCCGCCTCCCCTCACTTGGCTGCCGCCTCCTCCCCCATCACCGCTCCCCTCGCCCTGCAGGCAAGCTGTCCCTGGAGGAGTTCATCCGCGGAGCCAAAAGCGACCCATCCATCGTGCGCCTGCTGCAGTGCGACCCCAGCAGCGCCTCCCAGTTCTGAGAGGAGCCAGTTCCCCCTTCCGCCCTCCCTTCACCGTCTCCCTCCCGGCTCTTAGCTTCCTCTCCCTTGTGTGTATTCTGGCTGGGGGCCAGATTGGGGAAGCCCTTCTCCCCGGGTCTGCTCTATGGGGGGCTTCCGGAAAAGGGAACCCTGCGGTACCCCCAGGCCAAAGCAAGTAAGCAGTTAGCACCCCCCAATCCGAGAGGCAACAATAGAGACACAGGCTGGGTTGGTCTGCTTCTCAGTCAGGTCCCCTTACCCACCCACCAGCCCCGAGGCCAGACACCTCTCCCAAAGGGGCAGTCTCCCCGTCTTGCAGATCTCAGCTTGCGGGGTGGGGGGAGTCATGCCCAGGGGAGGAGCCTTTTTATCTGGAGGGGAGAGAAGGATTGTAGGGGTGTGGAGTTGGAGAAAGAGGGTTCCTCGAGCCACCCTTCCCACCCCAGCCCTTGCTGGTCCCCAGGCCAAGCCACCAAGTGAAACCTTCCAGGATACTAGCCCCGCCAGCTGTGGGTCCCAGAAAGCCCGCCTGCCTTTTAGCACTTGGATACACACAGACCCACGGAGTTCCTGTGTTTTGCCTCTCACACACATACAGGCCCACAGACAGATGGGCAGATGCACCCAGAGCCCCATGCACAGCGTCCTGCGTGAGAAAGAGACACGGCCCCCTGGCTGAGCCCCTGTCCTCCCCTCTGTCCCCCCAATCGCCCCCCCCCCCGCATGCAGCCAAATGGAGCATCTCTGTTCTTTTTAATAATTTCAGAATAAAGTCTCATTTCAGTGCAGTGGGCTGGATGGTGGGGGAAGGGGTTGAAAGCCCCACTTGGGTCCCCGAGGGTCCATTGAGCCCTCTCAGGCCAGCTCCAGGAATCCTGGCCTGGTCACAGAGCAGAGTTGCTTGCAGGGTCCTAGTGGCCATGGGGCCTGGGCAGGACATCATCTCTCAGAGGGTCAGAGGCTCAGAGCTGGTGCAGCTCAGCAGGTCACGGCCCTCCACCAGCTCTGGGTTCTCCCGCATCTGCAGAGACACAGGAGACTGCCAAACCCACTGGTTCTCAGCCTGGGTCTCCCCCTCCAGGACATCCAGGAAATGGAAGGAGGGGAGGGCTGGAAGGATCTCTGGGGGCAAAGGGGCATCACTACCCACTCCACTGCAAGAGCCAGGCCAGACCCTTGGAATGCCCCCAGTGTGAGCCCAGACACCCCTGCCCCTCCCTCAAGACTCATCCTGGGCCCTAGGAGAGCCAGGTGTCAGCTGTGTGACTCTGCTGGGAGATCTCACCTCTCTGAGCCTCCAAGCCTCCCCCTTTGCTCCTGGGAAGAAAACTTTTGCCCCATTTCTCAAGGTGGGGGCCCCTACACAGGGGTGGGGCAGAGCAGCTTGGGTACCCTGGCAGGGGATCCCAGGAAATTCGGGGAGTCAGGGCTGTGGAGGGAACTTACCACATGGTGGCTGCTTTTCCCCCACCAGGGCCTCAGCTCCAGCAACTGGTGGGTGAGCTGAGCGCAGCGCACAGCAAACACATTCTCCACCACGCAGAGCACTAGGGCGATGCCCCAGAGGCACAGGCTGGAGCTCTGTGGGGCATGGGGCAGAGATGGCTGGCTGGAGTTGGGGGTGGTGGGTGGACTCCAAGAGCCTTTCCCACCCCTGCGAGGGCCTGGTGCCCCACCTCAGGCCTAGATACTCACATAAATGCGTGTGGGGTCGAAGGGACAGTCAGGTGCGAGGGCCTGTAGTTCAGAGCTCCCAAAAGTGCAGGCAGCCAGCAGTGCCTTGCCCTGGGTGGCAAAGGTCACGGCGATGGAGGCCAAGAGGCCAAGGGCACAGGTCAGAGAGAGGAGAGCACAGGCCACACTCGAGCTAAACACTGTCCAGCGCTGGATGGGGGAGGCCACTGGTCAACAGGTGTTGTGCTTGGCCCCCATGGGCAGCTCTGACCTCCCTGAGGGTCAGTCTTACCCCCTTCAAGGAGGCCAGGCCCTTGGTGGGTGGCTGCTGCCCCTACCCTTCCCTCAAAGCCCTATCCCAGGAGGCAACACGTACCAGAGGGGTGCTGGGGAGGTAGCGTGATAACACGATGGCTGCGATGCCTGAGGTGATGACCTGTAGGGAAGGCCCAAGTCAGCCTTGACCCCTTGGCTGGAGGAGCAGGGGCAGGGGATCAGGGCCACTCTGGGATAATGATCTCACCGGCGCCAACCATTGCCCTCTAGACTCCCCCACCCCTCACCCACTGCTTAGCCTGGGCTTCACATCTCCATCTGCCTCCTCATAGTCCAGCCTGACATGATGTTTCTAAAACTGTCACTCCCTCTCTACAACCTTCCACGAGTCCCCACTGCCTACGGCTGTGTCTCAAGCAGGTTCATGTATCCTGGGGCCACCAGGGCCTGCCAGGGTATGAATGGGACACACCTCTCTGGAATGGAAAAGATTGTGGAAGAAACTAACCCAGTTAGCAAGGAACTAAAATCAAAATTGTTACATTGAAACAAACCAAGACATGTTATAGAGTAGAATTTTAAATCCCTGGGGTGTTTTCAATGATTCCAGGTTCTCAGTGACTAGACCCCAGCCCCACCCCTGTTGGCTTCTCAGCCCCACCTGGGGTACCGTCCTCCCTCACTGCTCTGGATGTGGATGCCTATACACAGCCTGCTCAGGACGCTGCCCACGCACCCTCTCACCAGGAACACCCTTCCTGCTCCTCTGTCCCTGCGGATCCTGCAAGCCCTGCTCAGGTTTGCACACGTTTCCCTAACCAGCCTCGATGCCAAGGGGTGGGGCTACCCCACAGTTCAGCCCAACAGCCGCCCTCTGGATCTTTGGGGTCCACCCATCCAGTCTTCCTCCTGATGTTCCTCACTGGACCAGGCTTGGGCTGGACCCATCTGAGGCAGGTGGTATGACGGGGTCCTGGGTTCCAGGCCCAGCATGTCTTTAGTTTACATGAGAGCCACAACACAGTGCCTCAATCTCTGTGGGCTTAGCCCCGCTCTGCAGGATGAGCTGACAGAAAGGACACTGGCTTTGGTGTCAGACACAAATAGGTTCCAATCCGGGTTGACTTCTGTGTATCAGCAGGAAGTTGGGTGAATCCCTGAGTCTTGGTTTCCTCTTTTGTGAAATGGGGATAATAATGGCCCCCAGCTGCTGGGAGCAGTGAGGATTAACTAAGTGAGGGGAAGGCTGAAGTGGTCCAGCTCAAAGCCCATTCTGGTGGACCTCCTCACCCTGAGCCCACTGCCTTCCCTGAGTTCCTCACAACAGTATTAGTCAGAGGAACTCCAAGGACCCTGCACACATCCGCCCAGCCCAGCCCCGTCCCACCAACAGAGCCTCTCCTTCTTGCTGGGACCTATGACCCCCATTCTCCCAAGCCTTGAGGCCAGCAGGCTGTCTGAGCTTTATTTTGCAAGGGAGAAACAGGCCTAGAGAGAGAAATAAGTCTCTCAGCCAGGAGGAGGCAGGGATGGAACTCAGACACTGATGTGCGGGAAGATCTTCCCCCGAGGCTGTGGCCACTTCTGCTGACCGGCAGGAAAGAGCTTTAGAAACTCGAGACGACCTGACCCCTCCATTCATGTACTAGTCAAACAGGTACTGATATCCAGTCACAACCATGGCTACCATTCACTGAGCAGTTGCTACAGACCAGGCCTCATGCTAAGCTCCTGCCAAATTGGTTTTCTCAGAATCTCCAGAACAGATCTTAGCCATTTCCACCTCCAGCCTTCCCGTCTCCCGTTCTCTGTACTTGGAATGCCATCTCAGCTTCCTTTCCTGCCTCTGCTAGCCTCAACATGCCACATACATAGGTTCTGGTCATGGCAGCCTGTCTGTGAACTCCTGCTCATCCATCAATACCCAGGTCAGAGGCCGGCACTCCGTGCAACCCTCCAGCACCCTCCCAAGCTCAACTCCTGCTCCTTTCTTCTGTCCAGTGGTGCTGTGGATATTTCTCGATGTAATAATCATCTTAGCTCACAGTAGTGGGCGCTAACAACATGCCAGACACTGTGCTAAGCACTTTCTGTGGAAGACCTCATCAGTACCCATCAGGACTCTCAGAGGTAAACACTGTTACCATCTCCATTTTATAGATGAAGAAGTTGAGTGACTTGGGCAGTTGGTAAGTGGCAGACAAAGGGTTAGTCCTTGAGGTTCTCTGCTTACCACCACCGGCTCTGGGTGGGGACCTGTTGAAGACCCTTCAAGCCCCCTCCAGCCTCCTCCCACCAACCACCCTCCCAGCCTGGCCATACCACGATAGCACAAGTGACAGAGAGGATGTTGACCACGCAGTACTGCAGCGCCACAGCATCTTGGGGGGTGCCCACGTAGCGCAGCACTGTGCCATGGAGCAGTGCGGCCGTGATGAAGCTCACGTGGCCCAGCACCACCAGCACCAGGCCTGTCTTCATCAGCACCTTCCGAAAGTCGCCCACACTCAGGCCTCCTGTCGGGGACAGCTATGTCAGGGCTGTGCGTGGGGCTTATCCTGCTGGGCAGAAGGGGAAGCCAAGGCCCTAGCCCTAATGATGGACACTGGGTTCTAGATGTATTTCTGGATGACTTGGAGCCAGTAACTTGTCTTCTCTGAGCCTTGGTCTCCTCATCCATAAAAGGGGTTCAGGATGCCTTTGCAAGAATCCTCGGGACTCTGAGGCTGGACAGCATACAGGTGACTCTTAGCAGTAGCGCTTGTTAGTGCTCAAGGTCATAAGTGAGGGGGCGCTAGCTCAGTTTTCTAGCTCTAGCCTTCGAGATCCTTCCACTAAGCTCCCCATTCACTGATTCATGTGTTCATTACACATGTTCACAGAGTGTCTGCTCTGTGCCAGGCCCTGGGGTACCACAGTGAGCTCCACAGTCACTCTCCAGGCCACAAGGAGCCAGAGTTCATTGGGCAGGAACTGGGCCCTGCTTGGTACTCAGTTTGGTGGATAGGGCCTGGTACACAGCAGATGCTGACACCACTGCTGAACTGAACTGCCCAGAGCCAGGTGACTTGGGGCAGGGAACTCAAGGCTCTGAGTCTCCATGTCCCCATCTGCAAAATGGGAAGAAGAACCTTGCCTCTCAGTGGGTCCATGAGGAAGTGGATGGGAAATTGTGGCATACCCTGAGGGTACTGGGAAAAGCAGGCTCTCAGTGCAGGGGGAACTGGGCAGGATGGAGTGAGTAGGGGAAGCTGGGATCAAAAGAACATTGGGACTCATTCAGATGTTCTCAGTGGCCAAGTGGCTGCCCAGCCCTACCTGCACATGCCGGCTCCCAACCTGCTCTCTGAAATTTGCCCATAAGTCCTAGCTCTGCCCTCAAGGAGACACACCACACCAGCCCCCTGGCCCTGCCAGCCCCTCACTAGAGCCAGCTCTGAGACTTGAAGACTGTGGTTAGGCCCCAGAACTAAATATTCCCTTCTTTAGCTGCTTCTGATGGGATGTGACTGAGTCCTTTCCTAGACCTCCGTCTCCCCATCTGTGGTAGAGCAGTTTGGTCATATTTAATATATGGGAGCTCTGCAGCGGGGGGGGGGGCGTGGGAAGAGGCTAGGCACAGTGCTCATGCCTCTAATCCCAGCACTTTAGGAGGGCAAGGTGGGAGAATCACTTGAAGCCAGGAGTTCAAGACCAGTCTGATCAACATAGCAAGATCCCATCTTTACCAAAATGATAAAAATAAAAAATTAGCCAGGCATGGTGGTGCATGCCTCTAGTCCAGTTATTCAGGAGGCTGAAGCAGAAGGATCTTTTGAGCCCAGGAGGTGGAGGCCAC